ATGTAATTTCGTCTGGGGCTGCACGATTAATCGAATTTTAATCGCGATCACAATTTTGGCTTTTTCTTTTTTTGCAAAGCCAATCTAGCGCTCCGTAAACCACTGATCACGTACCTCCATGAGCCCCAGTTCGCGAGAGAGACCGAGTGTGTCTGCGCGCGAGCGACAGTCCACGAAAGAGACGAAGTGCGCGAGAGATGTTGAGTGTGTCTGCGTGCGAGCGATACCGAGTGTGTCTGCGTGCGAGAGAGACCGAGTGTGTCTGCGTGAGAACGACAGCGCACTAGAGATACCGATTGTGTCTGCGCGCGAGAGAGAACGAGTGACAATGCGCGTGAGAGACCGAGTGTGAGCATTAGTAAATTGCATTAATGAATTGGTACATACTAGATAGTAATATAATTACTATATAAGAGGCATGAAAGTTCGATTAATGGACTCCAATAATCAGTAGGCCTGGGCCTACTACTGTGTCTGGTTTTGAACTATTGTTTAATAAATAGAAATAATTCAATCACAAACTTTAATATAGAGGAGTAAATAGATTTGATTTATGCAGTAAGATTTCACAACTAATCTCTCACACTGTACCACAACATTTTACATTTCTTAAGCGTCAAATAACAATGACTCTGAATTTCATCCATTAATCGAACTTGCCTAGTTCTGCCTTGACATGTTCTCATTTGGTTACATTCTGTTATGGAATATTTGGGGTTTTTTTTATTGATTGTATATTTTGCGTGTTTTATTTCACATCCATTATGTAGGTACAATGCAAGTTTATATTACTTCCTAAAATATATTTACACAATGTAAATGTAAAATAGTGCCCTGTTGAAGTTTTTTATCTACTTTTTATTTATTGTTTTCTTTATTTTTATTTATTCTTTAAGGAGATGCACTGGATTTTGGTGAATAAGAGGAACTATTTTATTTTTATGTTGTACATTAGCAGGAATGTAGCACAATATGGATGTGAAAGCAGTTATAATTATCCTAAGTGACAATAAAATTAGTCTTGGTTAAAATCAACAAATAATCGTGATAGTTAATCGTGATCTCAATATTGATCAACATAATCGCGATTATCATTTTGTCCCAAATCATGCAGCCCTAATTTCGTCAGATATCGTCACGTGAGATGACCCTAGTTTCTTTGTTTGCAAATAACAAGGACTCAAAGCTTTGGTCCAATGCAACAAACAATGACTTACGAATGGTTCTTTTTAATGATTCAATTTAAACAATTCATTAAACATACTTCCAAGTTAGTGGTTTGAATCAGACTCATTTGCTCTGAATCATTCAGAGCCTTTACTGAGTTCTCAACGGAGTCCTTTACTGAACTGTGAACCATTTTTCAATTATGTCTGATTGAAAATGAACGCAGAGCCATTACTGTTATTTGTACAATTAGATTTGTCAGACTGAACATAAGACTTAACATAACATAAAATTCATCAAATTTGTTGCAATAAAATAAATACAATTTGCAATAAAATATTACACTTTGTTCATCAGTTAAAAGAAAAAGTACCAGCTGATCTAACTGTATGCGTGTGAGTTTGCATATATGGACATGTAAACACCCAATCCCTGCATTAGATTGTGATTTAACAACAGCGCTTCTGAACAACCATCCATATCAAGCGATTCTGTACTTTACTTTGGCTCTGAAATGCTACATTTTTAGAGCCAGTGGCTCACCTGACAACACTATACAAATAAACTCATCCATGCGTCTACGCCGGCATGCTTGCGTGAACGTGTGCATTTTTTAAGTGGGGGATCTGGCAGTCTCCCAACATTTTTGTCTTGGTTGATAAACAAAAAAATCACTCTGCCTGCGGTACACATCTAGTCGTGAGGGAACACGCAGTTCCTGGCTGTCCTTTCCAATTGGCAGTCTCCGTACTGTTCTGTGACTGATAAGAGGACAGTGTAAATAAAACTGTACAGCACAGCTCGTTACCGCTAAAGGAAAATGGAGAGCACGCTGTCTGTACTCATTGTTCTGACGGCACTGTTTTTCCTTTTTATATGGATTTTTTTAGCTCTTTTTTTTTTTACGGAGTGTGTTGTCTTATATAACGCGTTTGTGTAGGCTCACCGAACAGCAAGGGTTTTTTTTTTTTTTTGTTTGTGCTGTATTTGTCTACTCATGTTCCTGCTTCCAAGCGACAAGGGGGGGCGTCTGATCAGAGTGTGTGATGAGAATCCACCTTTATAGCATTAGACAATGTGCTTGTTCACAGGTCTTTCCATTACAGCTGTGCTCTAGTATCACTCTCTTCAGGGACTCATCAACAAAGGCAGCACAACCCCACTGCTGGGTAATCTGAAGCTGGATGTTTGCTGCAGCTCCCGTAAAAAAGGCTCTGGTTGCACTCGCTTCTTTTTATTTATGTGCACATCCAATGCAAACAAGACCGATCGACACGGCGTCATCCTCGGAAACATTTAAATCCCAGGGTTTCAGTTGTGCAATACGTTCAGAGAAGGGAAGTGAAAAAGGAACGGGGCCCTTGGCACGTGGCACCTCTCCTCCACTTGTTGGGAGCCACGGTTGTGTAAGGACCCATTATATCAGGTTCGGCATCGTTGTGGCAACTTCAAGAGAAGGCGGGTGGAAGTGGGAGTTGCTAGAGAGCAATTTCTCTTTTTTTGTTTGTTTGTTTCTTTTTTTTTTTTTCTTTTTTTTTTGCTGGAGAGGCAGTTATTTGTAGCTCTTCTTCTCTCTTTTTGTCTTTGGTGGGAAGGGGTTTAAAAGTGGGGTATGATTGCTGCCAAATTTGAGGAAGGTGTTTTTTCTTAACACATTTTTTTCTCCTTTTTTTCATGCTTAACAAGAAAGTCGCTATTGAAGGGAGAGGCTAGAATTTATCGCTTTAATTCCATGACTTTTGCCGGGACTGGAAGCACTCTCCTGCTGGGTGGCTGTATGTTGTCACCCCCTGTGAGATAATGACCTGCTTCAATAAGCTGTCGTTTATGTTGTGGGGTGGGTTGTAGGGTCTGGCTTCTTCCTCTCTGCCACTTAAGGTGGTGATCAATGTCCCGCTGGTCCTCTAGCTCAAGCTACTTTAGTTCTTGGACCTTCCTGCTTCATGGCCAAATGTCGTTCTGTCAGTCTGTCTGGCTTTCTGTTTAGAGTTCTGTCTGTCTCTGTCTGTCTGTTTAGTATGGAAGCTTGTTTCTGCAACTGAATAAAAAAATAAAATAAAAATAGCTGTGACATAATCTCAAAATTCTGAAGTTTTTTCTCACAATTGCGAGTTTATATCTCCCAATTCTGACTTTATTTCTCAGAAATGCGAGATAAAAAGTCAGAATTGAGTGATATAAAGTCGCAATTGCTAGTTATAAAGTCCGCTCAGAATAGTTTAAATCTCCCAATTCTGACTTTATATCATGCATGCATTTCTGACTTTATAACACGCAATTGCGACTTTATATCACACAATTCTTACTTTATATCTCGCATTTATGACTTCATAACTCGCAATTCTGACTTTATATCTCGCAATTGCGACTTTATATCACGCAATTCTGACTTTATATCTCGCAAGTCTGACTTTATATCTCGCAATTGCGACTTTATATCACGCAATTCTGACTTTGTCATGCAATTCTGACTTTATATCTCACAATTCTGACTATATCTCGCAATTGCAACTTTATATCTCGCTATTGCGACTTTATATCTCACAATGCTGACTATATCTCGCAATTGCGACTTTATATCTCTCAATTGCGACTTTATATCATGCAATTCTGACTTTATATCACGCAATTCTGACTTTATATCTCGCATTTCTGACTTTATATCTCACAATTGCGACTTTATATCACGCAATTCTGACTTTATATCTCGCAATTCTGACTTTCCATCTCGCAATTGTGAGAAATAAAGTCAGAATTGCGAGAAGTAAACTCGCAATTGTGAGAAAAAAAAAGTCACAATTACCTTTTATATTTTTCATTCTATGGCGGAAACAAGCTTCCATAGTTTAGTGTTCTGACATTATGAATTTCTTTGAATTTCAGTTGATTTTAATTCTACTTCCTTAAATTCAAATTGCAACTCTGCATCCTTTTGCTACTTGAATTCTAATTGAATTCAAAATTAAACATATATTGTATCTGAACATTCAATTGACTTTCAATTGTCTTTCACAGTTCCACTATATGTGCAAGATTTAGTGGCATGATGCGACCACAGGTAGTGTAATAGTGGTGTTTGATTTCTTTAAACATTTAAGAGGAACTAGTTTTTGCCACATTGAAAAGTTTATTGCTGAGTGGCATCATCTGCTAGAGAAAAAAAAAAACCTGTTTCCTACTGACTGAGAGTACAGTACATTTTGCAACTTTACAGTGGTTGCGAAATGGACTTAGGCTAGCTTTTTATATCTGAGCTTTGACTTCCTGTTGTTCCTGTGAAGGTGGTAAGACCCAACAAGAGCTGACAGCTCTGTTAAAATTTCTCAAAACTCCCATTTGATTGAGCAGATAAATAGTGTAAATGTCAATGCAATACAGTGTTTCGGCTTAATTCTGATTTATAAATCAGATGGTACATCCTGTGGTCTCGCAGTTCCTCCTCGTGTCCTGTTGCAACATCAGATCTTGCTTTGCAGATGTCAAATGCATGACTGCTGGTTTTTATTTTCTATTTTGAATTGTTTGACAACGTTTGTGTTATTTTTACTGAAAGAGTGCCTTGAATGCTAAATCCCTGTTATGATGCATTGCTTAAAATCCACAGTGCACACAAAATCAGCGTCTGGCAAATGTATCCTCCAAAACATTGTAAACAGTGTTTTTGCCAGCAAGTTTTATTGAAGGGAATCCAGCAGACTTCTAACTCACAGGCACTGAATCATTTCAACTATCCCTGGGGTTCAAATAAGAGCTATGACACCATGCAGAACTCGAGGACCCCCAGAAGGATGTAGATTGAATAACTTATGTGTTTGTGTTTTTCTTTCTTGTAGCTGGTGAGAAAGCCATCGTCTGTGACCAGTGTGGAGCTCAGTTCCAGAAGGAAGATGCTCTAGAGGCCCACCGGCAGATCCACACAGGTGCAACACAAACACCAATCCACACTGCACACATCAAACACACTCAAACGTGCGCTCTGCTACTGTATGTGGAAGTTTGTCTTTGAGGGCTCACGTCCTTTGAAAGACATTTGCATTTAATGAGAGAAATTATTACTGTGCCTAAATATCTAGCCTCTCTTTCTACTTTTTTGTAGCTTTTTCCCACCACATTTCTGTGTAATAGATATAGATAGATAGATAGATAGATAGATAGATAGATAGATAGATAGATAGATAGATAGATAGATAGATAGATAGACAATTTATTGCAATATGCCTTTATTATACTTAAAAGCTAAGAAAAGTCCACTAGTTCCTAGTGTAAAGTACAATATAAAATAAACACTGACATTTCACAGCTGCTTGTAGTCCATGTACAAACACAAAAATTCCAAAATTTTGAAAATAAACATAAATTGACCATTTCAAATAAACGTACTTGCACTTCAGTACACATCGTAATTCTTCAGAATGTAAAGTGCAATCTCGCTTAGGTCAGATATCTATTCCTGTATTTTGAGGTTTCTGTTTGAGGAGTAGGCTACAGTAGGTTTTTCTTCCTCGTTATTATACACAACGGCAAAACCGAAATGTCCCCACACCACGGATTTGAAAGACGCCGGCGCTTCCTAGTACTGTATCCTCACTTCACCGCCACTTACCATTTTAAAGTGTGGAATGATGGTTAAGCCGCGCACCCCCTAACTTACTTGCGGCCGTCGCAGGAAGGAGTTTCATCATCTCAGCTCATAGACAGGCACACACAAACAGTCCATTCGGAGAGAAATAAAACGCACATAAATTACTTAAACACGTAAAAACACAAGCGCGTATTGAACCATGGATGTTGTACCAAACAGTGTTAAATATTATATTGTGAATTGTGGCATATATAGGGGTGTAACAGTGTTCTCACGGTGGCCCTCCACTCGGCCTAATTGATAGATTGACCAATGCTCCGCAGATAAATCCAACAGCTGTTTTCAAACTTATGCTGTGCGTAGCTTACAATGTCATTTTCTTGGTGACAATGGTGGATTCACAAAGTTCAGTATTACAATTTTTCCAAAAATCATGGAAAGATGAGCATGAAGAAGAGAAAGTGCCATCTACATCTTTTTACTTCACCTTTCCACAATGAGACTGCGAGTGAAGCGGCACCGGGGGCTTCCCATTTCCAGAACACGCATATTTCATCACTTGACTGTAGTGACAATTCCATGACACAAATCGGCACAATGCCAAAGGATTTTGTCCCATTATAACAGCGTAAAAAAAAAACGTTGGAGCACGTCACAAAAATGAATTGAATACAAGCTCTTGCGTTTTCTTCCTGTTGTGGCAGTAAGCAAACAGTGTATAATCTCTCTCTTTATATATATATATATACATAATATCTCTCTCTCTCTCTTTATATATATATATATATATATATGCATGTGTTTTGGTGAACGTTTTGTCTCCAAACATTAGCCAAGCATGCACAAAAGAATGTTTGATTGTAAACCATTTGCGTTCTAGGACAAAAAGTTAGCTGTGTGTTTACTTGCAGAACATGGTAACCAATCAGCAACCTTGGTTATTTATAAATGGATAAAGCTTTGAGTCTCGATCATGTGTTTTCTTGGGATATGCGGTGACAGATAAACATTTACTGGAGGAGGTGAAATGCGAGCCACCGGCTATGGGGTAAAGCTGGCAACCAACCCCAACAATTACGCACATAGATACCTGCTTGTCATTCTATTCATACAAATTATTAGTAATGGGAACAGGGCAGTCATGGTCAGGCTTGGTTAAATCTTTGTTTACTAGGTGCCCTCAAAACAATGTTGTGGCATGGAAGGAAGACCTCTCTGGTTTCCTCCTCTGCTTACATTCTTGGTGGCAACCTGAGTGGGGTATGCGCTGGTGCAGCTGACCCTGATATGATAACCTCTTCTGGGTTGCTGGACACAAGAGCTGTGCTGATGCATGTGCCCCCCCGTACACTGCCATGCTATGACTCCTCACTTTCCCGACAGCCCTCGCTATCTGCCCTTGGGAGAATATTCTAGCACAAACGTGTCTAGCACTTCACTGCATAACAGTCTGGCTTGCTTAGATCATTTTAAGTATAGAAAGCACCATTAAAGCATTACATTTTTGATTCATTTACACCCATGAAGCCTTGAACCACCTTTAGGAACGAAGTACTTGAGATTGACATAATGTACAATCAATAAAACAGCTTGTCGAATTAAGCTTTCACACATAAGTGGAAATCTTATGCTGATTTTCAGTACACTGCCATTCAAATTTTGGGGTCAGGTAGACACCAAACTCCTTTTATTCAGAAAGGATGTGTTAAATTGATCAAAAGTTACAGAGAAGACATTTTTAGATTTCTACAGTATCTCTATTGAACTTTGTTAATCAAAGATTCCTGAAAAAAAACAATCAAAACAATTGTAATCAGCACAAATGTTTTCAACATGCCAAGAAATGATTTTAGAACTAAATACTGGAGTAATGACTGCTGATTTAGCTGTACCATCACAGAAATAAATAACATTTAATAAATTGTATTAAAGTAGTAATATTATAATCTAGAATCTAAAATCTAGTTAAATAACTATGAATGAAATAAAACTTACTTAAATTTTGTCATTTGTATTTTTTCTTATTCAAAAAACATTAAAAATAAGTAGCATTTAATATTAACAAAATTTAAACCATAACAATTGTTAGTGCATTATTAGTATCAGCGTTTTTATCTTCATATTTTAATCATTTTTGTACATTTTTCTTTGCTTTTATTGTTGACTAAATCAAAATGTCCTTTGTTGACCATTTTCATTAGTAATATCATCAATATTAACATTGACTAGCAGATTTTTTTTTTTTTTTTTGCTATCAAATCATGTCTTTCTGTTCTTTTTGTGAGATTAGTCTAAAGAGTAAACTTAATTGGAAATTGAATGCGCATTGAAATCATCGATATTCACGGATTCACAGAATGATTGTAAATTTATCGTGAATATCCCATATACCGAGCCCAGCTCAGTCCTGGTCTCAGAGCTGCTTGGGTGCACTTTGTGTTATTTGACAGACGTGCGTAAAAGGCTTGCCGTGCCCTAACTGACCGGGCCTCCCGAGAGCCTTGACCAATATGGGGCCCATTGTAAATAGGGGTTAAACAGGGCTAACGATCAGAGAAAGGCATACCAGTGGAAAAGCCTGGCTAAATATAGATTTGGAGTCTGGAGTAAAAAAAAAAAAAAAATGGGCAGTGAAACTTGTCTTCCTGCCAGGGACCTGAACAGCAGTGAGGCCAGCCTCCCCTGTGGCTACCAGGCTTATATTTTAAATGTGCTATAACGCATGGCTAGTTTGATACGCTGTCTTTTTTTCCCACAGTCCCTCAATATGCTCACCCATATGCTTCATTTTCACAGCCTAGATAGACATGAAGTGAGTTATTGGGAGATTTTATGTCATTTTTTTCCCTGAAAACGTCCCCGCAGACAGTCACCTTTTGCTACACTCCAAGGGTGGCGTAAGGACCACAACAAGAAATGTTTATATTTCACCCTTGTTATCTACTACCGTTAGCCAGATCGGAGTGACAACCTTGAAACGGAGCCAATTCTATGTTATGCTTACAGTGTTACTTAACAGGCCCAAAACCGCATCTCTGTCCCCACACCATTCCTATAGTGGATGTGCAGCTCGCAGTTGTGCCCTCTTTATAAATAGTTAACGGCTGTTGGCGTGGTGGTGTTTACGATGGACAAAGTTTTCTTGTCGTTGTAAACATCCAGGTCTCGGTTTTCAAGTTGGCAGCTTGTCTGGCGAAAGGCTGAAGTGCATTTCCTGTAACGCTATCAGGAGAACTGCCCATGAAGTCGACCTGCATGGATGAATGACGAAAGAAAAGCCATTCATGGAAAATTAGATGCCGAAATGATTGAATAACACGCCAATAATAAAACGGCAACAAAATTAGGCACGATGGAATGAGTCCTGACTGATAGGATATTGAATTTGTTTAATTTTGCCTATTAAAGAGAGAAACTGTTTTCCCCCCTCTTGTATACTGTGTCTGTCAAATTATATTTGATATACTTTTATTCAGCAAGGGTGCATCGGATTGATCAACACTTACAGTAAAGACATTTATAAAGTTACAAACGATTTCTATTTCAAATAAAAGCTGTTTTTTTAACTTTATTCATCATTATCCTGAGAAAATGTATCATGGTTTCCACAAAAAATATTAAGCAGCACAACTGTTTTCCACATTAATAAAGAAATGAATGATTTTTAAAGAATCATTTGAAGGGTTAAGTAATGGCTGCTGAAAATAGCCATCACTAGATTAAATTACATTATATAATGGAAAATGGTTAAATTGTAGTAATATTTCACTATTTTACACTATTTTTGATCGATTAAATACAGCCGTGATGAGCATGAGACTTCACACAAATACACATTTTTTATATATGTGAGTGTGTGTGTATGTGTGTATAAAGGTCATTGTTGCAAAGTATTTTCAAATGTTTTACTTGAGTACTAAAATATCAAAAACTGAGTTCAAATCTTTGTTAAAAGACCTTTTGTTTGCTTGTTTGAGTTATAGGTCGGCACGATTCTTGCCTCATTCCAGACTAACACCGCCACTTCAATGGATCCCTTTGTAGCCTCGTCTCATTTCTGTTGATGTCAGAGAAATCAGCTGCTGTGATATGTTGATTGGAAGAAAAAGGGGCCCTTGTATACAGTCTGTAGTATTTTAGACTGATAAATCGTGTTTGTTTCGCCTAATTATTGACATATTCTATTTATTTAGCATTTAATTGTCCTCTCTGTCCATTTGTGTCAACTGAAAAATGGCTTGAAATATACCTGAACTTTACAGTGTGGCTCTTCGAATGACTCGGATCTGTGTTGATGGCATTCCTTGGCGAGGTGTTTGCCGCCTGTGACGTCAGGGG